TCGAATTATTGATTTATTTGTCAGCAGTTTCAATCACTTTGTTAACAACCAGAGAGGAAGAAAGAGTGAATTTTGTAGGAAAAAGAAGAAGAAGAAGAAGAAGAAGAAGAAAGAGAGAGATGGTGATGGAAGAAGGATGTCAAACACCAAGAAGCCCAGAAGCAAAGGTAGGTATGCAAGTGGAAGATCTATGGGATGTACAAGAACCACAGCTTAGTCCTACTGAGAAGCTCAACGCTTGTTTCGAGAACATTCCTGTTTCTGATTTTCCTCCTGCTCCTTCTAATCAAGGTAAATCTACTACTTTTCCTTGTTTATCATAGGTTTCTTGTTGTTAAAGCAATATGATCGTCGTCTTAATTATCTGAATTCTGCATACTGATCCTTTAATTATTTGTTTTAGAGGTCAAGAATTTTAATTGTAGCTTGTTGGTGTGATTGATAACACGGCGAGCTGGGGTGAATTTAACATTTTCCTTCATTCTTAGCTGAAGGAATTTATAGGATTTGTGTCTACTTTTGCTCAATCGACTGTATGTAGTTCAAATACGATCATGCTTACATGCTTTATCAAGTGAATCGTAATCACTCTACCCTGAGATCTGATCAGAGTTGAGAAACGTGATTATTTTTGTTCCTTTTTTCTCTTTTACACCCCCCCCCCCCCCCTGTGTGTGTTTTGTGGTTAGCTCTCTGTCTTCTGACGTTCTATTATTGATGCTTTCACTCTCTTCCCTTTACGTTTGCCTAGCATAGCAAGAAAATACAAAGTAAGCTACATAATCTTGCCTCATTCAAGTTGGGAGGAGGTTTCGTAGATATTTTTGGTTGGTTAAGCGTTGTTTATTTTGAGTTGAAAATTATTGAGAAACTGAATCTAACAATTAGAGAAATTTTCTGCATACTGTAATTCTCTTATACGCATCTTGTTGAGTTAAGCGACCTAAGTTAGGATTCTTAAATGCCTGCCAGTGAAAATTGATCAGTTAGCCGTTAGTGTTCTATGGTTTATTTCTCTTCTGGTATTAATAGTATCTGGTTGTTGCAATGATTGTTATTCTTATCTGCAGTAATTGAGATAAGATCAGATGCAACTTTGGCCGAAGCTGTTAAGTTACTATCGCGGCACAAAATACTAAGTGCACCTGTTGTGGATGTTGATGCCCCTGAAGATGCTAGTTGGATTGATAGATATATTGGCATCGTGGAATTTGCCGGCATTGTGGTATGGATCCTGCATCAGGTATGCACCCATACATAAATCATAATTAAACATGTATCTTCTCATTCACAACTAGGGAATTGTTGATCATATGTTGCGTTTAAAAGTTGGGGAAAGGTTAAAAGCAAGTTCTCAAATGGATCAAGGTCTAATAAATTGTTACAAAAACAGTGGTATTCTTGTTGTACATTGTCCTCCTTTCCTATGAAGATGCTTAAACCAATTTGTCACATACTTTTCAGTCAGAAAAGATGGAGGGCAACTCTGCTTTTGATTCGGTAATCGATGGACCAGATGATACACTCAGCCCTGCATTGGCAGCGGCTGTTAGCGGAGTCTCTTCTCCGAGATTCAGAAGTTTGCATCCTGAATCTCCAACTGCGACTTGTGGAAACTTTTTTGAGACATTAACTTCGTCAGATCTCTATAAGAATACAAAGGTTATTCTTTATACTGAATTAGTTATTTTTCCTTAAACATTTACTGATTTTCCTTTTAGAAAGCTATTCGGGCAATTGTACTGACTAACACGTGGTTACTTAGGTTCGGGACATTTCGGGTTCATTCCGCTGGGCTCCATTTCTGGCTTTGCAGAAATCAAACTCTTTTCTGACAATGCTTCTCTTACTATCAAAATACAAAATGAAGAGCATTCCTGTGGTTGATTTAGGGGAATGGAAGATTGATAACATCATAACTCAATCTGCTGTTATACACATGCTAGAAGAATGTGCTGGTCTTCATTGGTTCGAGAGCTGGGGTTCTAAAAAATTATATGAACTTGGCCTCCCTTTAATGAAGCCAAGTAGCATCATTCAGGTATGAACTTTGGAGTTTTTATGCTTCTGTATTGAGCATGCGGTTTGTTGTTTGTAAATAACCAAGTAACTGTTCCATAATCTATGGACATATATTATTGAGTTGCCCTTCTATTTGCTATGGTGTTCATTTTATTGCAAATCTTGCTAAAAGATGATACTTCAATTTTAAGATTCCTTGTGTTTCTATTTCTTTATCATGTGTTTCGGTATGCGAAACTAAGTGCTTGAAGTTAGTATGCCAGCCCTTGTGCATATTTGTTGCAGCTGGTTACCTGATTGACTGATTTATATGTTTTCTTTGTGCTTTTGTAAGTGCTCCATTTTGTTCTGTTTTATTTTATTCTTTTCCGTGCCCCCTACTTTGGCTGCACGGTTGATGATCCACTTACAATCACATGGTTGGTAGTTGGTTTGTTTTGGTAAATATTTTCTTTTATACGTTATGATCAAGCAGATCAATGCGAGAGTTTAAAGAAAAGATATCTACATTCTATACATATTGGCTGAATAGCATATGACACTTAGAAGCTATCAACTGTTACCTTCAACAAGTTCAGTTTCTGCTGTCACGAAGCAACAAAGGATATAATTGCTTTGAGTAGCTTGATCTTCTGCTATATTGTTGCTATAATAAGTTCAAGTGTTATGTATAGAAACTACCCCATAATAGAGCACAATTTTGTTTCCATTGCATAGAAATATGAATCTAAGGTCTCAAAAGCTCAAATTTAAGCAGAACCCGAGCTCATTGTGAACGATTGATTTTCCAGATTTTTATTCTCTTCCTTCGCAGAGTAGCTCATATTTTGCAATTTCCCGTCCGCAAATTTGATCTACCTGTTCATTTTTCTGTCAGATTACCTATATGAGCTGGCAGGACTCTGCAAGTGATAAAATTAGAGTGTATGTCTTCAGCCACATGTCTTCTGTTGATACCAACACCATACAACTTCTGCTATTGAGCATGTGGTTACAATTTTTTCACGTCACCTTTTATTTTAGGAACTGTCTCAATTTGGAGAATTCGTTGGCATACAAGCTGCTAAGTGCCAAGCATCTTATTTGTTGTGTTCTAGCCATTTTTTTACCTTTGCAGCTGGTCTTCCAAGTCCATTATTCTTTTGAGATTCTACTAGTTTTTGCTGTTATATCTTTAAATTGCAGTAATCAAGAAACTATGGAAAAAAACCCATTTATCTTTAAGCTTCTTTAGGTTGATCTAGGTCCGCAAAGCAATGGAACAAACTATTTGTATGAGTAACTCATTCCTTAGGCGGCCGTGTCAGTTTATCATTTAAGTGGTATATCCTTGGACAATTAAGCCTTGAGATAGCATTTGGTTCTAGAAAGAGTGAGTAGTAACAGCGCCCAAAAACTTAAGAATCCTATGAACCAGATATTTCGATATAGCTTGGGAGAGTTACTTTAACATGCAATGAACATTCATGTCATTATCACCCAACCAGCAACTTGATGGAGATGCTATGTTTTGACGCTTATTATTTTTGCGTTCTTTTCAAGTCAAAAACACGTACCAATTCTACAGGCAAGTTTTTCTGACACATCTGCATGGTGTATTTTGTAACCTCCTAGCTGTATCTGCATTCTCTTTTCCAGGTGAATGAGGATGAACCAGTGCTGCAGGCGTTCAAGCTGATGAGACAAAAGGGAGTTGGAGGAGTCCCTGTGGTCGAAAGTGGTGGAAGGAAAGCTATTGGTAATATAAGCATCAGAGATATTCAGTTCCTTCTCATTGCTCCTGAGATCTACAAGGACTACAGGTTTGCTTTGGCCTTCATACATTTATATGTTCAATAACCACTTAAGAGAAAACATATAACTAACAATATAATTTCAAGGCTGTCACATGCAAAGGCAGAAATGCTACATACTTTTCTAGACATGGAACAGCATAAATGCTAGCTGTAAACATGTTTTAAATAGCATATTTTCCTATTTAGTCTGCAAACAGTTTTAAGTCCGTCTTATCTTTCTTTGTTCTTTTTATTGAATCTGAACCAATCATTTTGGCATTGATTTCTTTATCATTCACACTAAAGCACATCCTCTTATGACATTCATTGGATCACACATGGTGTGGAGATCAAATAATGCACCAAGTGTATCACTTCATTCCTCTGCCAAGAAGTGCGATGAGTGCATTTAATGACAAAATCATCCTCATTCTCTAATTGGTTATCGCGCTGCAGATCTATAACAGCAAAGAACTTCCTGACATCAGTTCAAAGCTATCTGGAGAAGCATGAGAAGCACTCCCCTTATTTAAGTAGCATGGTTACTTGCAGAAGGGATAACAGCCTTAAAGAAGTTATCATGAAGCTGGATTCAATGAAGATACACAGGATCTATGTCGTCGATGACAAGGGAAATCTCGAGGGGGTACTCACACTTCGAGACATAATCTCAAAGCTAGTTCACGAACCTCGTGGTTACTTTGGTGATTTCTTTGATGGTGTTTTGCCGTTGCCAGCAAATAGCAGGGTCTAAGTCCTAATAACAACTTTAAGAACTTATGCTGATCTTTTACTTCTCTAGTGAACTGAATAATTCTAACATGTGTGGAGTCTGTTTAAAATTTGGTTTTCTTTCAAGGTGAGTTTCTTGCAACTTTGGGTTGTTTCTTACAAGTAGATTCCTTTCTCTTGTACACAAGACCCTTCTTGGTGCTGTAGAAATTGAAAGAAATGCAAAGGCTTTTTTTCTACTCTATCCTGTATTTCAATGTTTGGTGTGATTAAGCTATTATGCAGAATTTTGTATAGCAAGGAACCATATATATATATATATATATATATATATATATATATATACTAGACAGGGTTGCTGCCCAAAATATTAGGCGTGAAGCCTGTCTTGGTGGCAATATCAATAGTGCTCCGCCCAAAATATTAGGCGTGAAGCCTGTCTTGGTGGCAATATCAATAGTGCTCCGCACAGAAATGAAAATACATATAATCATAACCAATAGTCTTCTGTTTACATCTTGTGCACAGTAGGACAATATCAGTTGTTCATTATAATACTATTTTTGTGTATTACTTGCAAATAGTATCACAAATAACCAACTTCCTATTGTAGGACAGGTAAATAGTAGACTCTGAAAGCTTGTGGCACTTGAGTCATTCGAGATGACAGTTGTTCAATGGTGTTAGGATGCCATAAACAAAATGCCTAAGTTGGCAAGTGAAGTCAAGCATCTCTTTATAAAGGTGGAACTCAAAGGGGATCCTAACGCCCTTCAGCCTTTTCCAGTTTGATTTTGTTGATTTCTTTAACAGCCACCCCAAGCTAATAAAATTTGACCTCCATGGTTCCGTGCTGCTCTTTCTCAAAGAAAACAATTTGAGAAATATGAGTCTGCTATTTTTCATTGCCCAACTGTTCCACATGGTGCACTTAACGCTTGTGTCTTCAAGCACATAATAGCTTGTAGTCCACTATTTCCTATGAGTACAGGATGTAATGCGCATCTTAGTAGTCAATCTTGCTAATCTGAAAGCAATAGCATAGCAAAATAATAAGCAGGAAAAGAGAAAGATAAAAGCTACCATTCAACATGTAAATTTCAATAATTGCAGTGAAGCAATCTTAAGGAGCTAACGGCTTAATTATGCTATAAAACAAAAGGATGTTACACAATTATTCTCCTTTAAAGGCATAAAAAACCAACAATCAACTTACCGCTTTTGATGTCCCACGATTCTGCTCGTTTAAAAACGAAGGAGAAGGATAGGGGTCGCTAGGTCAGAAAAGCGATAACTAAAAAATCTCCCCAAGTAGGATTCGAACCTACGACCAATCAGTTAACAGTCGACCGCTCTACCACTGAGCTATTGGGAACATCGGACTTAATGTTGGAAGCCGACTCTCGTTCTTTGGACCAACCTATGACCGAATACAAATGAGTTCGTCGCTCCTTTTCATATATTGGGAGAAAAGGTTACGATAGCAAGCCTCTCCCCGGCCGGAGAGCCTCCAGGACAAGGAGGCGGCAATAAAATCAAATTTACTGCTGAAGAATAATATAGTAAAAATGCTCATAAATAAAATAAAATAAGGAAATTTGACTAAACCATTAATTTTTCCTTGTTTATTCTTTTTCCTAATATCTATCTTGTTCATGTGTATATACCTACATCTAGTATCTCCTAGCAAGCAACGACAATCTCCTCGATGGGAAAATTAGAGCTTCACTTTTTGCTGCAACAGCTGGCTATTGGATTCGTTTGAACTTAACAGAATACATTAACCATACATTATTCAGGTTCCTTGTTTTTATTTTTTATTTTTTTGGTTTCAGGTTCATCCAGTATAAAAAATTAAATTAAAAAGGTAGAAGCACCAATATTTTGTGTAATTTCTACTCCAATTTCAGAAACGCAACTAAACTTTCAGATAAAAAGAAGAATATGGCTTAATCATTAAACCAGACGACATAAAGAACATAAACTCCAATATATTGCATCTAGTTTCAAATAACAGATAAGGAAAGAATTATGGATATCCCGTGCAACCACATGGAATGTGTGTATGTGTTCAAGTGTTTCAGAATAAATTCTGCAGCTGACAAGTTCGACAAGAACCAGAATGTACATAGACTTCCACAGTTGAAGAGCAACTAACCAATACATAATTGCAATGTGATAACTAAAAGTGGCTTCATCAAGATTATAAACTTGCTAATCCCTTAATATTCAATAATCTCTTCTTTCTATTAATAATGCACCTTAAATTTTACAGGCTTGATCAATTGAATTCCTAGAGCCTTTGGGAATATCATCCTTCCTCCAAATACAAATGAACAGAACACACTTTTCAAAGTGGACTAAGACGCTAAAGCTAAAGCCCTTCCTGTAAGATATATATATAAAAAAAAAGAAAAAAAAAAAAAAAAAAACATGAAACTGGGTAGAAATATCTTGCTCAAGAGACTCTTCATACTTCTCTCCTGCTCAAGCAACCATGGTCTCACCACTTTAGGATAAAAGGTTTCTAAATTTATGTGATGAGCTAAACAACTCAGTGAACCCGCCAAAGTTTTACTCTATTTTTTTTTCGTTAATGCAATTAATCTATCCACTATGAGTTAAAAGTACGTCATATTCCCTGAATGCACGCCTGCTTGTTCCCCTCAAACCATGAAATAAGTCCTCATTCGTATTCTCATTAACTCGCAGATGTCCTGAAAAAATAATCCTTCCATATAGCCCAAACTTCTACACCTCTATAATTAGTAGTCTCTGGCAGTCTGCTTCGACACTAACTATTTGGCAAAAACAGATGCTTACAAGGAATTCTACCTTCACTATTGGCATGTTTTGTTTGGTTCCTCAAAAGGGAGCGAATGGAAAGAGGTAGAGAGACTTACGGGTTTACCTCTAATTGTTTGGTAAGTTGGTATAATTGCAAATGAATTAGAAAAAGAGCAAAGCTGCATATGCCTCCACTTTACCTTTTTTGAAACCAAGAGAGAAAACTATCACTGGTTATTTCTTCAGCATATCATTCAAATTACCAAATAAAATGAGTCGTACATATTATCAAACACATAGGGTGCATATTCCCACTTCAAATCATAAATTGACAGAGAAATTTAAAGAAAAAGCATAGGGCATATGAAGAGACCCAGTCTTCCAACAATAAGTTTGATACCTTATTTTTGCAGGACGGATTAATTATTCACTAATCAGTAGCATAAGAAAAAATTCATCAATAAGACATAATGCATGTTTAGATTAGGTACAATTACTCACATGCAAGTAAAAATTGTAGCAGCACACTTTTCAAAAAGAACAGCAAAACTATGTTCTTATAGTCTCGGGAACAACTACTAATTTTCAAGACAAATCCATATAAAATTAGGAAGGTCGAGAATGTGGTTTGCTTTCTATTAACAACTGAATCAGCAACAAGGTTTCCAATAACTCCTATTAGAAGAACATCACATACCATCAATGAAAAAACCAGAAAGGTCCGACACTGAAACAGAGGCGGCTTAACACAGTTTGGGACTTGAACCAAAGTGTAATGAGGGGCCTTAAGTTCTTCTAAAAAAAATTATATATATTTTATTTAAAGGCTATTTTCTAGCTTTTTGAGTTACAAAGTTATTAATAATTTTTTTATAATCTATTTCCTCTAACAATTCTTTTTCAATTGATAAAATGGCTAATCCATTTAATCTCTCTTGCGACAGAGTTGATCTTAGGTAAAATTTTATCAATTTTAATTTTGAAAAACTTCTTTCCGCAGAGGCAATTGTTATAGGAACTGTTAACATTATTCTATAAGCAATATAGGCATTTGGAAAAGAATCAAGTTTTTTATCTGATTGAGTATGTCGACTAGAGTATTATCTTCTACTTGTACTATTTCCCTCAATACTTTTAATTCAGAAAATAAGTCTAGACCGTCAATATCAGAGTGATTATTATGTCTTAAAGACATTTCAAGGTTAAGGCAAAAAAAATTCAAATTCTCATCATCTAATGACTTTAATTTTTTACCACTAAACAAAAAACCAAAAATATGTTCATACGCTTCGAATTGTTCAAATCTATTTTGAAGCAAACGAATGGCTTGATCTACTATATACAAAAAGTAATCTATTCTAAAAGATTCTTCAAGAGACTTTATGGTTTCATTTTCAACATTCTCTTCAAATTGTATTTTTCTATATATGACACGTTTTTTTACGAAATTCAGGTTCTATATTCATCTCAGATGCAATTTCCTTAGCAGAAATCATAGCAGTTGTGAACCCTTATTCTCTATATCTTTGAAAATAAGAAATAAGGCCTCTTAGTTGATCTATGGCTACATCAATATGCATATCTTTTGATTGCAAACTTTTACTAACTGAATTAACAGCAAACAACATATTATACCAAATAGTCATACCCAATAAAAACTCAAAATTTTGAAGCTTGTATGTCGCTAAACAATTTACTTCACTTTTAGTTTTTGGATCCACACTAGCTTCTACTAATTTCAATAAAGCATCTCTTATTTGTGGAGTTTGAAATCTTGCCATCAAAGTAGATTTCTAAACGGAATTAAAATTTTAACTCTAAACTATAATAAGCAGCATAAAAATTTTATTGTGAAAGTATGAGTCTTATGAGATTGCAGTCATATCATATTGTGAAATTTTAAGTAATAAAAAATCAATACATATTATATAAAAAAAAATTCAATCCTCTCTTAATTGACTAATGACTACCAAATCAGTCCCAAGTACAATATGTAGGAAAAAAAATGCTTGAAAAGAAAGAAAAAAGTTATCATTAAAAAACAAATTGTACTTACCAACTTTGTATTTTATTCCACAAAGAATGATCACAAGATTCTTGTAATTCTTTTGACAGGAAGGAGTAAGAAACTAAGAATTATCATAAAGCTTTTTAGAAATTAACAAAGAAAAGAATTAAAGAAGAAGGCAGAGGCGGTTGAAGAAGGCAAGGTAGGGTATAAACTTTGTAGTTGTGAATAAATATAAAGAAAAAAAAGAAGAGAAGTCACTCCCCAAAAGGCAGAAACAGTAAAAGCAACCATTCATATCCCCGACATCCAGTAATGATAAAAGTAAACGTTGTTTTCCTTTTCCACAGCAAAATTATAGCTTTTCACATTAAATACTTAAATTTTTTAAAAGGAAAATAAATACATAAACCTAAAAACACTAAAAGATGGGGCCTTCAAATTTAGGGGGCGTAAAGCCCTAGCCTTACCTGCCTTGGGCTTCAGCCGCCTCTGCACTGAAAGAGTAAAGACAAAAGAGAAGCACATAATAAAGCTTAGAAACTCACAAAGAGAAAGAGAGAACATCCAAAGCAATGGAAGAGAAAGTGAATTTCAGGGTTTGAGACCCAAAATCTATCTAAAGTGATACACCTGGTTGGGTGCAATACACGTGTTTATAGTAAGGCAAAGAAACTCAAACCATAATGGGTCCACCTCTACAGTACAATTTACAGTGTTTTTGGTACAACTATTAGTGCAGTGTTCGTACACCTTGTTCGCTTATATATAATAGAAATATATATATTAGTTTCTCGACACGTGCGTTGCACGCTGTCGCGCACCCTTTTCCCTCGCGGAATCGGGTTCATGACATTTGGAGGGACAACTCGTTCCTTTTGGGAACTGGGTTTGCATTTGAAGAGTCGTCACCTAATGATTTAAGGTGCATTAGGACACCAAAAGAGTTTGATTTGAATAACCAGAGATAGGGTAAGGGTTTTGTCACACCTCCTTTTTCCCGCGCCCTCGCAAAGGGAGTTTGTTCAATTAAGGGACAATCGAAACGGAATTTATTTTTTAATTCAGAGTCACCACTTAGGAGATTTATGGTGTCCCAAGTCACCGGTTGAATCCCGAATCGAGGAAAAGATTGACTCTGTATTACAGTCCGCGAACCAGAAATCCGGATAAGGAANGATAAATGAGCACCCGAGTTTAAGAGAGTAAATTATTAAAGGCGCGCCTAAAGTGACTATCGTATTATCATTTTGGGAAAGGCCGTGACCTTTTGCTAAACGGCCCCACCCGAAGTCTAAGGAATTTTGCAAACTCTTATAGAGGGCCCCGTAGCTTATGTATTTTATTTGTCGAGGCTCATCTCATTCATTATTAAAAGGAATTGCAACGTCATGGAAATGCATCTCGAACCACGTCACAATCAATGTACCCGTGATTATCGACATATTTCGACTTCGTTGGGATTTGGATTTGGGTCACATAAATGTGCACCCAGGTTTGAGAAGATAATATTATTTAAAGTAAGCGCCTAAAGAAACTAACGCATTTTTATTTTGGGAAATGGCCGTGAAACTCGCTAAACGGTCTGTCCCGAAATCTAAGTATTTTAATATATACAATTGTCGAGGGCCCCGCAATCTAGGTGCTTTATTTGGCGAGGCTCATCTCGTTCGTTAATTTATAGGGCAAACTTAAAGTAATCTATAGTGTTCTACTTAGTTCGTTTCTAAAATAAAAGGAGGAGTCCTAGCTAATTATATGGTTTAAGAGCTTTTATAATTGGGTCATGAACACCACCCGTTTAAAATCAGAACCTAAGTACGCAGACGGGCATGGTTATTCACTAACCTGGGCCCAGGTCCGAATGAGTGTAGTGTTAAAAACAGGACCTGGGCCATCTTATTCAAGTGCTGAGGCCCAATCCGCCTAAATACAGGCTAACGATCTCTTTTCGACAAAACACATTACTCTTCCGATTTTAAGCGAACTAAACACTTAATGAAACTTACTTAAGTTATTCTACGCATATTCAACAATTTGCCACGCAGAAATGTGAAGTGATTATATCTAATTAAGTATATTACTACAGGTTTTAGAAGAGCGATAGTTAGAAAGAGGTAATTTTGATGTCTATTCCTAATCCTAAACTCAAACCATTGATGTTACAATTAGATTGATGTATTAATTGACTAGTCTATTAGGCCAGATTCTAACGGACATGCATTCGAAATACACTACCTAATAGTCAAGCTAAAACAAACCAAATATTATTGACTACAACTATACATTCGGAATAGACAAGAGCAGATACATGATATAGAGTCCATTCGAAAGTTCATAAATTAAATCATTACAAGAATTGTCCAGTTATACATCCCGCGGGCATTTACATGATATTAGTGAGTGAGATATCCTAATATTCAAGTCAGTAGAAAAGCTAGATTAAACTTAAAGCTTCAAATCTTCATGTATATTCATGCTTATGTTTTCGGCTTACAAATGACCAGGGTTACAGTTGTGTACCTGGATATTGGAAATATAATAATAATAATAAGAAGAAGAAGAAGAAGAAGAAGAAGAAGAAGAAGAAGAAGAAGAAGAAGAAGAAGAAGAAGAAGAAGAAGAAGAAGAAGAAGAAATCAGCAGCAGCAGAAATGCGAGCAACAATACAACAGCAGTTCGCAACAGCAATGCACCAAAAGATAACCGGCGGCGACTCAGGAAAAACCAGTTAAAACTCCCAACAGTACCAACAGCGACACAAACAACTGGTAACTGACCCCAAACAACATGACAGCAACCAAATATCAGTCAAAACACAAGCAGAAATACCCCCTAGAATTCAGTAATCAAGAGAAAACTCGAAAATACAACTCCACAGTCAAGCTGAAACTCATTTCAATCTCAATGGAATAGTACTAGTTGAACTAGGCTTACTCTTAAGACTCTTCTAGTTTTTCAGAATGTTCAAAATACCCTCAAGATTTCAGAATGTTCTCCTCTTAAAGTCTACCCAAAAGAAACAGCCAGACCAGACTCAAAAAGCCTAAAGAGAACTGATCTTCTGCTCTTAAAACCAGCCCCTATCCTCTGTCAAAAAAAACCTCCTCATTATGTCCAAACCTTGCTCTATTTATCTGCCCAAAACAGACCCTTCCCCCTCTCAAAAGCACTTAAACTAATACCACCACCACATTTTTCCCATGATATTCTCTTACAGCCCATTATCATGTGTCTTGTGTCCAAAGATATGGGCAGTTTATAATATTCAATTAATCCCCCCACGCTATTATGTTTCCCAAGCCACCACTACTAGACAAAGTATTAGTTTAATGGTCAATTAAGTACCCTTACGGTCAGACCACTAGCACTAAACATTTCAAGCCTTTTTAAAAACCCAAAACACCCTCCTAGGGTCCCTGAAACTACTGTCCTAACCAATCCCCAGTACCTCATCAGTTATAACAAATCTTCTTAAACAGATACCTAAGTTGATTCCTAGTTAATCACCAAACTACAGCAGCTATAACCAATCCAGCCTATCAAATTCCAACAGTGATTCAATCAGAATTGAAGCAGCATGAGTCAAATCAGGTTATTCTAACATTCTAGCATGTAAAACTAATCGACGACACTTATCTAATCGACGACACGAATTACAACACTTACAATCAATAGCAAATAAGAATCGAACAGGCACACAGGTTATTCGAATCGTATTGATAGAAACATGGATTCATAATAAAACTTAACTAATCGACGACACTCATTCA